CCCTCGGCGCCCCCCCGGCAAGCCCCGGCTGTGTCTCCTAGCAGAGCTGGAGGCCACAGGGGCGGTGAACCACGTAACTGCCTCCCGGAGCTGCCAAGAGGAGTCCTATGAACTTAGTGCCTGAAAACAGGACAGGCTGGTCTCTCTGTCTCAGTAACGTCGTAGTTAAACTAGGGATGGAATAGTGCAGCCGATTAACTGATAAGCAAAAGCTTATCTTAGACCATATGCATTCCTCCCTCCCCCCCCTTGGCAGTACGTTTTTTAGCAGGCTGGCCCGCAGCCTGGCTCAGTCCCGGCTTGCACGGATCTGAGACCTCCCCCGCTGCGGCTCTGCATTTAAAGTGTATTAGGAGCCAGGTGGGCAGGAAGCCTGGCTCAGTTCTGGCTCACACGGAGTCCAGGAACTCAGACGTCCCCGCTCCTGGACATGGTCTGCTGCCAGACCGACCCCCTGGACAGGGGCTGCTGCCACCCCACGCTGCTGCCTCTGTATCAGAGGGTGACAAGCAGTCAGGCCACAAGGGGAGCTGGGTTTTAAATTGGCTCCCCTCGCAGAGGCAGCAGCGCGGAGTGGCAGGGGGCACTTTGGGGGGGGGGCTGGAGCGCACTGGCTGCCGGGCCTGCCCCCGGGGACTTTGGAATAGTCGAGTACTCGATAAGAATCCATGAGGTTACTCGACTAATCTATTACCCGATAGCGCCCGCCACTCCCCTTGAGCACAGAGGGGAGCTACTCCAGGGCGGGGTGGTGCCAGGAGCCTGGGTCCATAAATGACTTTCAGTCCGACTCCCAACGGAGCTACATTTTAGCCTCCATCCTCCTCCTGCTGCAGGTCCGGCCGTCCCATCAGCGTCATGGTGGTCTTCATCACCCCCAACCCGCTCAGCAAGATCTCCTGGGTGAACCGCCTGCACCTGGCAAAGATCGGCCTGCGTGAGTAACAGGGGCCGGGGGTCCTTGCCGCTGAATGCGGACTTTCAGTCCGACTCCCAACGGAGCTACATTTTAGCCTCCATCCTCCTCCTGCTGCAGGTCCGGCCGTCCCATCAGCGTCATGGTGGTCTTCATCACCCCCAACCCGCTCAGCAAGATCTCCTGGGTGAACCGCCTGCACCTGGCAAAGATCGGCCTGCGTGAGTAACAGGGGCCGGGGGTCCTTGCCGCTGAATGCGAACGAAAGGGCGGGGTGGGGAGAGCCTGTGGCCGCCTTTCAGGAAGGAGAAATAAGAACCAAAGCTCCTTGCCCGGCGCGTGGCACTGGGGGAATGTGCCAAGCACAAGCCTCAATTTTGGAAGGTCGAAACCCTACCAGAGCCGCAAAGATGAGCTTGACCAGGAAGGGCCTTTGGCTGCCCAGCGTCACCCGAGAGCGTCCCGAGCAGGATGTTGGCTGCCGCTTAGCCAAGAGGGCTTTTGCGATGGGCCACATCCATCCTTTGCGTTGCTCCTTGGAGATCCAGCTCTCCACTTCCTGGTGCACGCCTCCCAGTGTGCAGTGCGCCTGTGCTGACTTGATCGTGTCTCACTCTCGCTTTGCACTGGTGCAAACGACCGTGCAAACTGCAGGGCAGTGGAGAACGATGGTCCAGATGGGCTTGGGTTGTGACGTCTGGCTTGGTTTCTACCCCTCTCTCCTCGGGGTGACTTCCCGTTGCCGTGGATGCCCTACAAGCGTGTTCCTTCCTTGTTCTTATGGTGTCATCAGGGACTGGTGACAGTGACAATCACTGGGACTTTCTTGCCTGCAGACCTTTGGTTCCGCTGCACAGCAGGTATTCGAATGCCGGGGGTGTGTGGGAATGGAGGCCCTGCTCTCTGTCACCAGGGGCCTCCCTTTGTGGAACAGTCGTTGAGCCCCAAGGCTTAGCAACAGTTGTGGCTTCTCCTTGCTGCTGACAGGTGGCCGTGAAGGTGGAGAACGCCTAGGGAGATTCCTTGCTGACTTGGGTT